GGCGGAGCCGGTGCCGATAACGAGCGGCTTGCCGCTTGCGGCTTATGCGACCTGCCTGAGTGCGTTGCCGCCCCGGAGACACCCGGCTTGTGCTCCTGACCAGCCCGGGACAGCGAGGGAGGCGGGAGAGAGCGGGTGGGAGAAACTCTCTTCTTTTTTGATCCCAACGCCTCAGGGGAATCTGATCTCTTCCTTTGTCCTATAGAGGACTTTGAGACCTGCTGCTCCGGAGGCTGTAAAGCTTTGTCACACAACAGCAGTTTCAGGCGCATATCTCTATCTCTGCGTGCCCGCGGAGTCAATTTAGCACAGTGAGTGCATTTTTGTGGCACATGCGCTTCTCCTAAGCATCTGGCACCAGCTCGTACTCACCTGGAGTGGAGCACCCACGGGGACCACTCGAAGAAGAAGAAGAAGTTACTCACCCTGTGTAGTAACGATGGTTCTTCGAGATGTGTCCCCGTGGGTGCTCCACGCCCCACCCTCCTCCCCGCTCCGGGTCTTTCTGCTTTATCTTTCAGAGACCGAGCGGTGAGAGGAACTGACAAGGGGGAGCCGGTCCGTTGCAAAGGCGCGAACGCCGCGCGCTGCGTCCGCGCGTGCGCGGTCCGGCTCGGCTACGGCTATAGAAGTTTTCCGACCAGCGGCGCCGGGACGGGACCCGACACCTGGAGTGGAGCACCCACGGGGACCACTCGAAGAAGAACAGATACATACAGTTGCTTCCCTCTAACTCACATGCATCACTCAGAAACAACAAAGGTCACGTTGCCTATAAAGCCAGAAGAAATCCAAGAGAGCCTTGTAGAGATTGAAAGGCTTGGCTGCATTTCATTCATAGCCCATAGATGGCATTATCTAAAAAGAATTCATCACACAGCAGACAGACAGTAGTTTATTGCTTAAAGAATGTTTACCCTATCCAAGTAACTTCATTAGAAGTTAGAATGAATTCCATTTCCCAACAAAGCAAAGCAAACTGTTTAGAGGGATCTATGGTTACAGTTAATTACACTGCAGCAAAGCTACATATCTATAATGATGGGGGAAAATATCCATAGCAATGCACTTTCTTACTCATTAATTTCACATGCTTTACATCATCTCTTCTTTAAGTCTAAACTTGAAACCAAACCCAATGATACAGAGTGCCTCACTGAACAGGACAAGGAGAAATTCAACATAGAAATAATTATTAATCCTTTCCCCTGGCATTAAGATCCTCTGATATTTCCTAGCTTGCTAGTGATGACCCAGGGAATTTGATCCGGAGACATCCCAACATCATTCTTCACATGCAGCATCAGTAGCATTTTGGAATTTATTGATTAAACCAGAACGTTTCAGAGGATTTTATCTCAGTGGAAAAGAAGAAAGTTATTGGGGCTGTTTCTAAAGTTAAGTTACAAATTGTTTGTTCTGGATACCCTCTTATTACGTGTCTTAACTAAATTTGCCATTTTAGCTTCACAGGTCATATTTAATATGATTAATGCCAAATTCTTCTAAACCCCATATTCTCCCATAAGGCCCCATGCTGTCTTTCTCCTGTTCTGAGAGTTAATTCAGTTTCTTACAATACAGAGAGAGATCATTTCATAAAATGAATCAGGAACTTAAGGAGAAAACATCATAACTTTGCCATCCTACCTGATTTAGGATTTAAAGAATCACACTGAGCATTATGCATATGCACAAATTCTTGATGCCTTTTAATGAGCTGCTGCCTGGTTCCTTGGATAGACAGCCCATATTCCTTTAGCTTCTTCTTCAGATCACGATCAGAAAGTAAGTTGTAAACGATTTTAGGCAGGAATTTCCTTTTGTGACCAGAACTGTAGGAGAAAAACAAAAATAATACAAAAACAAGAAATTATGTCTTGTATAGCAGGAAATCAAGCAGTAAGTTATAATTCTATAGTGCTTTTCATTTAGAAAAGCCTCAAAGCACTTTACGTCATGCTTATAAACAGGGTGGATTGATTTAAATCAAGAAAATTTAAATCACAATTTAAATCACCCCCCAAAAATCATTGATTTAAATCAATGTTTCCCACTGACATGTCTGAAAATAGGGAATAGACTTATGAGATCATTATTATGATCTGTGGCGATGATATTCCAAAATAAGAGAAATGTATTTGTAATGAAAAATAAGAAAATGACACTCAGTGGCAACTAGCAACTAGATTTCTCTTACTGCAGCTTTCTGTACTGTACACTTGAGTGACAAATTCTAAACCTAGTTAACTAATTAAATAAGCCATAAGAATTAGCTAAGCTAAACTTTTTATTCTAGCAATAGCAAACATAACAAACAACTTGGGAATTAACTTGTTAAAATACCCAGATACAAAAAAGCAAAGAGAGAGTATTGACGAATGATGCATTTCAAAGTTGATCCACATAGTTCTTCAGACATACCCACATCTTCCCTTTATTTTTCCAGTCCACTCCACTCCATCCTTTCCTATATATTATTTTCTGTCTTTAGACAATATCTTACCTAACTCTGCTGTGCTTGGCCCAGGTCCACCACCACATACGCACTGAACAAAAACCAATCCTATCCAGTCTTTGCACATTAGTCTGCTGACTAACAGAAATTGAAAACCCAGAACTTTCAAAAAGCAAGAGTTGGTTGTTAGGGTGCATGGTCTAGAGTCATTAATTCATTTTTATGAGACCGTAAATGTAGGTGTAGCACGTTTGTGATAAGATTTAATTTTAAGTGTGATTTTTAATGAGAAATTTAGTGCTTTATTGATGATTTTTTTTAAATTTGAAAATCTGATTTAAACTGAAAAGATTTTTTTAAATAATTGATCATCATCCGTCTTGCTTATATGAACCATAGGACCTGCCACTGAAATGCATCTACCTCTAGGATGTAATGTTCCTATAATGCAGGAACACCTTATCCATCAAGCACTTGATGGAGAGGGGTTTTAAAGTTATGGAATGCAAGAATCCAAGTTTAAATTTGCTCAGGAAATTGGAGTAAACACCTCCATTTCTTGAAAAAAGCACTATAGGGTCTTTAATAGCTGTTATGAGTGAAGACTTCAAACTCATATTATGCACTACACCTGACGCCCAGGTTCAGCATGGACACAGAGGGAAGTACACCATTACCTGAATTATCAACAACTGTACTGGAAGCTCGTAGGCTTTGCATCCAAAATAATGGCTGTCTCTCAGCTGCATAGTTTGAGATTTTAAAAGATCATAACCCTAGATTTATGTTGGAAAAATTTCCAGTTTTCCAAAAGAAACACTGTGAAGACTAAACCATCAAATTTCAGATTACACTTGATAAATTATATTAAGAAAATTAATAATGCTCTCAATGAATTACCTTCTACAAAGAACCCCACTTCCTGATGTTGCTTAGTGTAAAATAAGAATATGAACGCATCCATTCTGCTATAGCACAGAGGAAATTACTTTATTAAAAGAAATAATGGAAAATAGAAGGTTCGGTGTAACATTTAGCTTTTTGAATGAGCACACAACATTCTGACTACACAATCTTGGACACAGAGAATGTCATAAAAGTGCCAATGTATGCTCAGGTCACCTTACTAGCAAAAACTGCACCTGAGATGATTAGATTTAGCTAGCAATCCATACTAATTCCTAGTTTATCTTCAATTCAAATAATCTTGAGCTAGTAATACAAGGAGAGAAGACCTAACAGTTACAGATGCTTTTCTTTTCTGAAGCAGACTACAGCAACCCCCTTGCAGAAATTTAACAATGGCCCTCTACATTATATATAATGTAACAGCCGTCTGCCCCTAGAATAAAAGATACTTACTTTTCATTTGAAAAGTGCATTTTCCAAGCAATATTAGGTCATAATACTAAAATAAATTGAAAATTACTACAAACAGGTTTTCATGACAATTCTAATTCATTTACTCTAATCATGTAACCGCTGTAGCTCACCTGGTGAAAAGATTTATTGCCTCCCAATTACTTTCAAGAAAAGATTGTTTAAGATTCTATTGGAAAACAAACTTTTCATTAAATTAAACCTTTTCAAAGCTCTGAAAAGTTTAATGCCTACTGTAATGTAGATATTGTATGGTCTAGTGGACTCAAAATAAGGATGGGGCAAAAGATAATCCCAGCTATTCCAATGAAATATTGGATAGCTACTGATGTTTTGTTTCAGCCCCCCCCCCCAAAAAATTCTAAACAGTGAGGTGGCAAAATTTGCAGATGATACCAGATTGCTCAAGATAGTTAAGACCAAAGCAGACTGTGAAAAGCTTCAAAAAGATTTCACCAAACTAAGTGACTGGGCAACAAAAAGGCAAATGAAATTTAATGTTGATAAATCTAAAGTAATGCACATTGGAAAAAATAATCCCATCTATACATACAATATGATGGGAAGAAGTATTAGCTACAACTACTCAAGATAGAGATCTTGGAGTCATTGGGGATAGTTCTCTAAAAACATCCACTAAGTGCAGTGACAGCCAAAAATCAAATAGAATGTTAAGAATAATTTTAAAAAGGGATAGAGAATAAGACAGAGAATATCTTGTTGCCTCTGTAGAGAGCCACGGTACGCCCACATCTTGAATACTGCGAACAGATGTGGTCACCTCATCTCAAAAAAAATATATTGGCACTGGAAAATGTTCATAGAAGAGCAACAAAAATTATCAGGAGTCTAGAATGGGTCCCATATGAGAAGAGATGAAAAAGACTTGGACTTTTTATCTTAGAAAAGAAGAGACTAAGGGGGGATATGACAAGGTCTAATAAAATCATGACTGAAGTGAAGAAAGTGAATAACGAAAAGTTATTTACTTATTCCCACAACATAAGAACTAGGGGTCAACAAATGAAATTAATAGGCAGCAGGTTTAAAACAAACAAAAGGAAGTTTTTCTTCACTCAGCACACAGTCAACCTGTGCAACTCCTTGCCAGAGGATTTTGTGAAGACTAGAACTGTAACCATGTTAAAAAAAAGAGCTAGATTGATTCATGGAAGTTAGCTCCATCAATAGCTATTAGCCAGGATGGGTAGGAATGGTGTCCCTACCTCTGTTTGTCTAGGAATGGATGACAGGAGAGGGATCATATGATGATTACCTGTTGTGTTCCCTCCCTCTGGGTCATCTGGCATTAGCCACTGTCAGTGGATACTGGGCTAGATGGACCTTTGGTCTGACCCAGTATGGCCATTATTATATTCTTAAGACACTGACAGCATTATTGCAAGAAGATAAAAATCAAGGTCACACTTAATTCCACAGTAACTAATCCCTCATCACAAATTATCTTCTTGGATACTTTTTTAAACTCTGAGAAGTGTAAATGAAAATAAAGCAAATGATACTAAGTGTAAATTCTTTATATTCTAAAGGAAAAGTGTGTTTCAATCATGCCCTTGCCATGAGCACTTAACATCAGCAACCAATAAAGAATTAACTAAAGGTCAAAAATCTGTCAAAATAATAAGATATTAGCACCTGTTTGGCATTGCACAGTATATTCCTGTGGAAATAAGATTAATTACAACTGTTTGTCATTGTCTCCCTATTGCTAACAGAAGCACTAACACACATGTTTAGCTGTTCTCTTGAAAACCACAAAGGTTCTGCATTTAAAATCTTGGCTCTAGGAAACAAATTAAAATTTATCCCATTTTCTCATTTGTCAAAGAAAGCACAAAAAACAGTGAGAACAATCTCACTGAGCAGAAAAACAGAGCACAAAAAGTCTTTCGATTCCAAAATGCTGATACCTTTATTCACTTTTAAACACTTACGTTTTTAGATTTTGTTATACCGGTTGTACTTCCCTAAACCAGGACTCTTTGGTCTGGAAATATCCATGGCCTGGCAGGACCACAGATGTTCCTGCACTGGGGGGGGAGGAGAAGGGGTGCTCGGGTGGTAATGGGAGCTTCTCTGTGTGGAAAGGGTTGACAAACTTGGATAATGAGAAAAACTGAGGAACTTTGAACTTTTTTCCCCCTAATTTAGGTGAAGAAAGAGCAACTGAAGGGAAGCGCCATCTGCTACTGAGAATGATAGAGAAGGAACTGAGGTGCCACACCGTGTGCGTGCCTAACGAATGCCAATGGCACGAGAAGATGCCAGTGCACACGTGAGGCATGGTGTGGCAGGGGACTGCTAGAAGAAATCTCGGTCATTAGTGCAAGGACGCACCAGCACCCAGAGTGGAGCGCCCATGCCAACATCACTCGAAGAACCACCAGCAGATTACAAAAAGAGTTAACTGATGAAAAAAATGATCATTTTTTAATGCAACAAACTCTCCTTTCCATATGATTGAGAACCCGCACTTAATTAACATGGTTCAGTCAATAAGACCAGGATCACTTGCGACCTGAAAAAGCAGGAAAGCTTGTTTTTTTTCTTCCAGACAATGAACAGGAAAATGAAGTTAGCTGCAAAAGCTAGTATTTTTAGATCCTCATGTTGACCTGGCTGACCTCGTATATTTAATTTTGGGGTTTTTTTTAAATAGTTCATTAACTATTTTAGTTCAAAACAATTTTAACAAAAACAAACCTGATTTTAAAAAACTTCGATGTTTAACTAGACTCAAAAAATCATATTCTTGTTTTGTTAAAATATTACATGTTTGCTGTTGAACACAAAATCCAAAATACATAACGTTCTTGTTTTAGTTAAATATTTTAAATGTCTGTCTGATGATGTTCTCCTACTAATACGGCATGGCAAGAAAATCCTCCAAATATTAATGTTGAATTGGAGATAGTTCACCAATTACTTCATAAATATCAGCTTTAATTGCCTTTAGTAAATAAAATAACCAATCATTAATTTTCTGATATAGCTGTAAAACTAATCTAAAAAGTTTTCAAAATAAATCACTGTTAAAATGTATATAGTATGTACCTTCTAAAAATGAAACCTACATCTATCTCTGAGTTCTGAAGAATATGTATTAAGATTATACCAACCAACAAGAATGTACTTTTACGTAGAAAACTATGATTAAACCAAGTCTTCCTGATTAATTATTTAAATCAGTTTTAAAATCAAAATTTAAATTAATTTGATTTAAACCAAATCCACTCTGGCTTAGAGGACTCTGGAAATACAATTAGAATGCCAAAGGTGCACACAGCATAATTTCTGCATGGCTGAATGATCCATAGCAATGGATAATACTTCTGCTAAATTTAGATAATTGACAACAGCGAGGGAGAAGACTCCATATCATTGATTTAAATAGGGCAAAAGTGGGACATTATTAGGAGAGAGACAGTAAGAGAACACTGGCCCTGAGATGCATGCACAAAGTTAAGCATGTACACAAGTCTTTGCAGTATCAGGATTTTAAAAAGAAGGGTGCAGCAAATCCAATTTTCCCTTTCAGGTGAATGTAAGGCTTGTTGAGAGAAGAAAATCATCATAGTTTACATCCAACTTTGACATCCACAGCAGGTAACAGAGAAGCAAGATGACAGTTCACGGTTCATTATCAGCATCTCACTACAACAGTAGAGGCAACTGGTCAAATTAACATATAAGTTCTTTAAGTTTCCTACCTTCTGAGGATGTCCTTCTTCTCATCTCTTATCAAACAACTATCTAGGTGTCTGTTTATATACTGCTCTGGAATACACACCCCACATACAGGACAATCCACTGAAAATAAAAGAAAGGGCAACTTGATGTGTTTTTAAAAGCATGTTTATTATTTACAGCAAAGCAAAATATTTTCATATGAAAAATGCAATTGTTATTTCGGTATGGTCAAACACAGAAAACTAGTTTGTTTGTTTATTAGAAATTTGGCACATCCACCCAGACAAATACTAAAAATATAATCATTTCCATTTCTAAAACATTTATTCCTACATTTTTCTATATTTTTAGCTGCATCTTCTACTCCATCAGAGTTTGTATGGAGTGACGAGGATCCATAATATCACTATATCATACATGCTTTTGAATGTTTGCTATAAGATACTAGCTAACAAACACTGCCAATACATAAACAACCATACTGGGGCTTTTATGCCACTGTAATTGTACATTATTACTGTGAGTTTACTTAGTTTGAATTATTTCAGCTCCCAGTAAAGAACTTTTTCTTAAATTATGACAAATAATAAATTATGCTAATGCTTTATATTCATGTAGCACCTCCTTAATCCGAGGATCGCAAAATGACTACCTTCATTCACTGAGTAATTAACCATGCCTCATGGAAGTCCTAAAATGTAAATAAGTATTAACTTTTTTTTTTTTTTTGGGTACAGTAGACTTCCAATAATCCGGAACCTTTGGGACTTAGGTGGTGCCGGATTATTGGATATGCCGGACTACCAGGAGGTACTATAAGCTGGTTATATATATACTGTATTCATTATATACTGTATATAAAGTGTTCTTAACCCTTTTTATTGTACATACTGTATACAGTACACTGTGATATTTTAGTTTAACCCTTTTTTACCCTTTTTGCTCAGTTCAGCTGCTGCCGCTGTTGCCTTGTATCTCATTTTTTGCCAAAGCTCACTCACTAGGCTCTTCCCATTTTGATGTCGGACTATCAGGAGTGCCGTACAATTGGATGCCGGACTATTGGAGTTTTACTGTATAAGCAACTGAGGCAGAGAGAGGTTGTGTGACTTGCCTGCAGTCTTACAGCAATAACCCAGAACTGATCCAAAAATCACTAACTCTGCCAGTAAAATATGCTCCCTCTTTAACTTACAACAGAGGTCACCTTAAAGAACTTCTTCATGTGTTCATGTTCTCCTAAAGCATAATTATTTTAAAGTTACATTGATACTTTTATTCTTTTAATATGCTTGCCCTTATATAGTCAATCACTTTGTATAAAACCCCTCTAATCAGTAATTTTTAAGGCATAATTTGAGAGTGAGGTTCATCAATCATCACAATGCTAATATGAAAAAGATTAGTTTTAAACAAGAGAATTCTTGATGTCCCTGTAATACTATTTCTTGTAAAGAAATTTGACGTTATATAATTTTGAGTAACATTTACAAAAACACTCAAAACTAATTGTGTGAGCACACAACTATCAGTACACACTATGGATGTAAAACCCCAGTTAATCAGTGAACTGGTTAAACTGGGTGGATTATCAGAAGATTTAACTGTTAATAATAAAAATGGTAAGCCTGAAATCTTTAGTTATCCAAGAACAAAACGAGGAATATACTATACAGAAAGAGCTCACAGTTGGTTTTTAGTCAGTAAAAGTGAGCAAATACGATGCACAATACTAGGAGGCAGATTATCGGACTATGCGGAGCATATTTCTATCTAGCCACTTTTCTGATCATAGGCACCCATTTAAGTGGTGTGTAGCAAGCTGATGAATAGATACAGACTTCTGACCTTTGATCTACTAATAAATTATCAAATAGAGATTTAAAAAGAAGAAATAAAGATGATGTGGTAATAGTCACATTTTTATTCTTACACAATATGGTATTTATTTCCATTTGTTCTTTAATCAGGATAGTAACAGTACCACAAGGATGTCATATGATCATAGAATACTAGAACTGGAAGGGACCTTGAGTGGTCATCAAGTTCAGTCCCCTGAACTTAGGATAGGACCAAGCACCACCTAGATCAGGGGCGAGGAACCTAAGCCTCAGGGGTCGGATGCTGCCCTCAGCTTGCCCAGATCCAGCCCCCAAAGCTTGGAGCTCCCCGCCCCTAGCATTGGGGAGCATTTGCTGGTGTTCCAGCCCTGCCAGCATCCCATCCCATCATGGGGCTAAAGCATACAAAATCTACTAGCCTGGGTCCTCTTAGGCTCTGGCATGCAAAGGGAATATTGGGAGTGTCTTTCTCCTTGTCATTTGGGAGCCATGTCAGTGAGGGTTTGGTTTTTCTTTTTTGCTTCTCACTTGTGTGCGGCTTCCGACTGATTTTTCTGTGAGTAAGGGGGCCCTGACCCCCAAAAAGGTTCCCCACCCCTGATCTAAATCATCCCTGACTGATGTTTGTCTAACCTGCTCTTAAATATCTCCAGTGATGGAGATTCTACAACCTCCCTAGACAATTTATTCCAGTGCTTAACCACCCTTTACCATGTAAAAATTAAGAAGATTCCACTGTCTTACTTTAGCAGATCACAAATACTCTGAATATTGAAAATAGGGATGTGAATGGTTAACTAGTGAGCATCATCCTTACTAGGTGATGCTTACTACTTACAGTTAACCAACAGGGACTGGAGCAGCTCCCTGCTCCTGCCCGGAGGGGCCCACCACGGGCAGGGGCGCTCTAGTTCAGCATAAGCAGCCTCTACCCATAGTGGGCCTTGCCCAGCGTGTCATAGTCAGGGGCACTCCAACCCAGCTGGAACAACCCCTGACTGTGGTGGGGGAGGCCTCTCCAGCACAACCATGGCAGATGGAAAGGGGCCACTCCAGCTCAGGTAGACTGGAGTGCCCCCTTCCCCGCTTTCGCCGTTAACCAGTTTAACATTACATTAAATAGGATTTGACATCCATAATTGAAAATACTAATTTGTACTCTTCTTAGCACCAAAGTAGAGAGAGAACAACAGCATGACAAAGTATAATCTTTTTCTGGACAGCTTATCAACAGAATCGTTAACTAAGATGCAATGGCAAATAAACATTGTGCCTATATGTGTAGCCCTCAACTGCATTAGGGATGTTAAATTGTGGTTAACTGACTAGTCGAGTAGCCCATGGAATTTCCATCAGCTATTCGACTAGTCGATAGGCACTTCCAAATTCCTCCTTTGAAATGTACAAGATCCCCTACTAGCGGAATGCGGAACTCCACATACAGCCCGGGGCCAGCGGGAAGTCTCACTGACTCTGAGCTGCACACAGGTGTGCCAGCTTTGAAATGTCCCCAACAGGGGCTCTTGTGCATTTCAAAGCCATGGAACCCGGGGTCAGCGAGGGACTCCGAGGGACTCCATGCTGTGCTCTCATGGGGGGGGGGGTGGGAGGGAATCAACTAGTCGACTAGTCCTTAACATCCCTAAACTGCATTATAACTATACCTTTAATACACTCCACTTGGGTCAGGCTGAACAAGGATGTGAGAGCCAGAAAGAGACTGAGACTGAGTAAATTTGCTATGCAACCCTAAATTGCCTTTAAAATTTGTTTTTATTTTCTCTTAACAGCTCTTAGAAACTCGAAATAACATGCACAATTTGAGTTACACAAATTGCATATCTTATTTCAACTGTATTTTGAAATAGATTATTTTGAAATTTGTTGAGTCAGCACAGCACAGCACCAAATTTCAAAACAACATGCTATTTTGAGACATCCCTTAACCCTCATGGAACAAAGGTTACAGGGATGCCGGAACAATGTTTCGAAATAACGGGTGCATTTAAAAGACATGAGGTAGCTATTTCGGGATACCTCAGGTATCCTGAAATAACCCTGCTGTCTAGACATACCCTTAGAGTTGAATTATATTTTAACAACATGGCATTGGCCCACATCCCCTCCAACAAGCATGTGTTTAATGCAATACGAGCCTAATAAAGCAGTAGCCAATACCATTCAATACCCTTATAGGGCATGTCTACACTGCAGTTAAACACCCATGGCTGATCCACGTCAGCTGACTTAGATTTACTGCACTCAGATTAATGGCCTGTTTAATTGTGGTATAGATGTTTGGGCTCTGGCTGCAGCCTGAACTCCGAGTCTCTCCCACCTCACCACGCCCTAGAGCCTGGACTCTTGTCCAATCCTGAACATCTATGATGCAGTCCTCTGGACGAGGCACATCCCACTTAAACATAGCAGAATGTAAATCTTTGTACCTTTCCTCTCAAAATACTACAGAAAGATTAATTAAGCATCAACACTCATTGACACAGGCAGCATATATCTGATATTGTCAACAAACAGAATGGAAGATTTTGGTTCATATAACAAATTCAAGCATGAAATGAGAAAGACAGAATAGGCAACTCACCTTTTGTAACCACTTTCATAACGGAGGTAGAGGGTGCCTCAGGATTTCTCATGCCTTTGGGACTTGTGGCTGATACCCCTTCACTGATCACATCAGGAGTCCCTGCAGAACTACATCTATTATCTGTCATTTGTTCACTGTTACAACCTTTACATTCCATCTCAGCAGATACAGATGCCCTTTTAAGGGTAGGAGTATTTTCCTTTATTAGGAAGTTGTCTATACATTGTTTGTTTTGTTTTAAAGCTGAACCAACCATGAAACCTGATGCATGACTTCTGACAGTAGAATATTTGGTATAATTTGTTGAAGGAGAAACTGGTGGTGAATCCAAGACCAAGTCGAACAGTTGCTGCCTAGAAATAACCAAAAGACAAATACATCTTTAGATAAACAATATTATTGTGTCCCTTGGATAGCCCTCCCTCTATCCTTCCTGATCAGAGCAGCAGCCCCTGCCTGCGGGGTGCCCAGGCTCCAACCTGGCCGGAGCAGCCCCCCGCAGGACTGGAGCAGCATCTGCCCAAAGCAGGAGAGGAGCTTCTCCAGGTTCCACTGGTTAAACGGTAAGCCTCACAAATTAAGTGTGAGGCTTACCTGTTAACGGATTAAACATTCAACTCCCTAGTCTACAGTGGAGCACCTGCTGGTGGAGCACCCACTGGCAGGGGGGGAGGGGCTTTCCCTGCTTCCGGAGCAGCCTCTGTCTGTGATGAACCCTCCAACCCTCTATCTTTAATCAGTTTACCTGTTAAACAATATGTTTAACCAGTAACCAATTAAATGGAATTCTACATCCCTAGTCCAGGAGCAGCATCCTGGTAAGAATCAGAGTTTTCATCCTTCATCTATTGTATTAGTTTGTCTAGAAGATTTAGGGCTTGTCAACATTCCCAAGCTCAAGGTGTGTGTTAAACTGGGGGGAAAAAAGTGTGATTTTGGGGGCAGTATAGAAAAGGAGAAATAAAATATAATGAAATAGGTGGAGAACACAAAGGTAGGAAGGAGAAAGAAAAGAATAAAAGAAGAAATTCACTAGAGACAATACAGATGCACAATAATCTATTATAAAAAAAAGGAGGGAAACGGTGTTAAGTCTGGAAGGAAAAAAGATTTTGGTTTGGGCTGGAATTTCTGCAAATTCAAAAGGAAGGCAAGTAAGCGACATTTTTAAATGTGGCCAACTGACTGGCAATATGTCACATTATATCTAAGTAAATCCTTCAAATGGAAGAACAGAGATATCAGGAATTTTTTCCATCCTGATGAAGTTGTAAAATTAGTATTTTCAAACTACAGATATAAGCCTAGGTTTTTTAAAATCCATACTCTGACACAATACCAGCTAATATCCCTTACATTAATGTGAAGACCACAATTACCACTCACATTAACCCTGTTAGCCCATGTACCACTGGCATAACTGCAAAATTATTTAAGAGACATGCTCTCACTCTGCATTACAAAATTGCACATCAAAATTGACATTTACAATAGTCCCACGGCATGGTGAAATTCTACAGCACAAACAAGAGAATCAACAGCAATTAAGTGTGGCAACAACAAATGTTTTGCTGTCTGCTCTCAAACAGATGTGGACTGTAAGTGTGTACTGATGAAAAGGTTGTTATTCCATGACAGACATGCAATTACAGAAAACTCTAGCTACAGGTGTCAGAGGACTAAATTAAGGAAAAATAAGAGCAAGATGGTTCAGAACATAAAGAGTGAAATTCACCTCAATGTAGAGTGTCTATGACTTACTTATGCTCTCTATTAGATGTTTACCTGGGGTTAATTTCACCATAAAAGAAAGATCAGAAAACTATAAGAATAAATCTACTTTAGACTCTCCTCTGAGGGGGACCCAGGCACCCTGACATAACATCCCAGGAGGTATGCTGCCTGCCAGGGGCCCGTATCCCAGACATTACAGATGGATTGTTGAGTATCATCTGACTCTCTTGACTACTACCCCATGCTACTCATCCATGTGGGCACTAGTGATACTGCAAGACGTGACCTTGACCAGATCAAAAATGACTGTAGGGCTCTGGGAGTATGGGTGAAGGAGTCTAGGGCACAGGTAACGTTCTCTTCAATCCTTTTGGTCAAAGGTAGGAGCCCCGACAGAGACAGATTAGGGATGTTAGCGTGTAACCAAATAGTCATGTAACCACACAAAATATTATCGGTTACAGGACTATTCGATAGTCCCTGGGGGCAGGGCCGGCAGCCAGTGCACTCCCGGCCCCACTCCTGGGGAGCCTACGGCCACCCCCAAGCAACTGCCTCTCTATCAGAGACAGGAGCACAGAGTGGCAGGAAGAGCTGGTCCGCAAGGGGAGCTGGTTTAAAAGCCCGCTCCCCACATGTATCTGCTCCCGTCTGCCCCCCTTCACCGCTGCGCTGCTGCCTCTCTATCAGAAAAAAACCCTTTTTTGAAAGAACCTGTACCCCTTATTTTTTCAAGAATACAGGTTCGTTAAAAAAAAAAAAGATATTTTTTCAAAAGAACCCCGTCTAAACTACACTTTCACTTTTGAAATACCCTTTTTCGAAAAAGCACTCGGACGCGAATATGCAAATGAAGCACGGGATATTTATATCCGTACTTCATTTGCGCTTTCAATTTGCTTCATTTACATTCCTCTCTCGAAAGAGGAATGTAGTTTAGATGTGCCCAAAGTGGGTAACTTAATGAGGAGGGCTTTAAACTAGGTTCGATGGGGGCAGGTGACCAAAGTCCACAGGTAAATGAAAAACTTGGGGACGTGGGAGATGTGGGAGAAACTGGGGGCGAGCATGGGCCGTAACAGTAGGAATAAAGGAGGGATGATGCAAAACTGAGGGGCAAAATCAAATCAGTGTCTTAGTTGTCTAGAAGTATGGGGAATAAGCAGGAAAACTTGAAAGGCAAATAAAATACAACTATGAAATAGTTGGTATCACAGAGGCTTGGTGGGATAATCCACATGATGGGAATATTGGTACAGAAGGGTACAGCTTGCTCAGGAAGGATAGGCAAGGAAAAAAGAGAGGACATGATGCCTTATATATTAAAAATGTATGTTTGGACTAAGGTTGAGATGGACATAGGAGACAGACTTGTTGAGAGTCTCTGGGTAAGGTTAAAAGGGGTAAGAAATAAGGGCGATGTTATAGTAGAGCAGTGGTCCCCAACCTTTAGAGGCTCCCGGGCACTTGGGGGGTGGGGCCACTCACGCACCGGGCGCCCGGGGGGGTGGGGCCACTCATGCACCAGGCACCCGGGGGCAGGGCTGCGCGTCCTGGGGCATGCCAGGGGCGGGGATGCCCTTGCACCCGGCACTGGCATGTGCCCCAGGGCCAGGGCCGCCCGAGCGCCTTGTGCCGTGGGCCCGGGCTGCTGCCTGCATGTGCCCCGGGGCTGGGGCTGCCCGAGCGCCGCGCACCCAGCGCTGGTGCGTGTCGCGCACCTGGGGCCGGCGCCTCCTGTGCGCCGGGGGGCGGGGCCGGGCCCGGGTTTCGGCGGGCGCCAAAGAATGCCCCCGCGTTGGGGACCCCTGACAT